TTTTACTATAGATTACATTAAGAACATAATGACCCCTTTTACGGCTTTCCTATGTGAATTTATAAATAGTGATAGCGATAGATCAGCATTCATTCAGTCATTCTTGAAATGCGTTTCTTCCTAAAACCAAAATTTGGGCCTTTAAGTTTTTCCAAAGGCTCTTTTACTTTAAAGGTATATGGTATGATGATAGCTCTATCTTCGCTCTGTCTTCTATATTTTTTGTTACCTATGCTATATGCTTTGTGTCTTCCAGCAAAGTTTTCACAGTATTTCCATCCTTTCGTAAATGTTTTCTATTCTTTCATAAATTCTGAGGGCAATCTTTGTTGCTTCTCGCCGCTGGAAAACTCTTGCTCGTCTTAATATGTCTTCCAGCGAAGTCTTTACAGTGTTTCTATCTTTTCGTGAGTGCTTTTTTCTTTATTCCTAAGACTTTAGAACACCCTTTGGTTGTTTTTCTCTATTGGAAAGCTCTTGCTAGTCTAAATTTGTCTTCCACCATAGTCTTTTCGTCAGTGCTTTTTGCTTTATCCCTAAGTCCCGTTGGTTGTTGTTCTGCATTGGATACTTGGAGTTAGCTTTTTTGTGGGATTCCGATAAAAAGCTACCATTAATTTCTTTAAACAAGTTTCTATTTAAATATCATAATTTTATATACGAATTTGAAGTTATGTCTGATGGAGTTCGTATATAGGACCTCCTACAGCAGAATATGTAAACAAATATGTAATGTAATAAAATAAAGTAAATGAATAAAAAAGTAAAAAGAAAAAATATTTTCTTACTGATATTTTATGTCCAAAAGTATTTAGTTACAAGTTGGTTGACATCTAATGCAGAGATAACCACTCTTGACTATTTTGCGGCCATCGCCATAGAAATCTATAATTAGATTTCGTCGAAAAAAAAAATTATACAGAAAGTAGTGACCTTCCTAATCAACTTCAAGTTAAGTTATAGCTACATACATTTCCCGCAGGGTACAAACAGTGTATAACATTTATATATATATGCAAGTATTGGACCGTGTGTTTGTATTAGTACAGAAAAAAATAGAGTGTCTGACTTTTGCCGTTGTTGTTTGGCTGGTTAACGACAAAGCTCTCCCCTTCGCACCTCATCGCACGCTGGCATAATGTTGGAGCAGTATTATTTGGTTATTTCTTTGCATTTTGCAACTCGTTGGTCGTCGTGTGCGTTTCCATCTACATTACATATATGTATGTACGCACAGACTTTTGCTTGCTAGTTCTAGTCTGGTCGCGTCTAGTCTATTCCATGCGGATTGCATTTGTCCGTTGTTTGTGTATTTGCGCGTTGGAGCGCGCGTTAGTGTGATGCATTGCATTTGTGTGCCTATGTATGTATGTGTGTGCCTATGTATGTATGTATGCGCGGTAGTGGCATAGTGGCAGTGGCAGTGGCATAGTGGCATTGACAATGGCACTGACTCTGCTGACTCTATGCGTACGTACGCACGAAATGCCGCAAATCGTCTGGCATCTACCCCACCTATCCCCTCATCTGAGCGCAATTTTTATCACTCGTGTGAATATTTTCCTTGCCATGCCTGGCTGCGAGTATTCTTGAATATTTTTTTTTTGTACATTCACATAGATAAATGTTGCTTCTGCTTTCTGCTTTCTGCTTCAACTTTAGTTTTTTGGTTTTTGTGCTATATTTTATCATCTGTCCGCCGGTATTCTTGCCGGCTCTGCTACTTCTTCATTTGCAACCATCTACTTACTATCTTTTACTTTGCCATTTCTGTCCTTGTTACAACTTCATTTGTGTGCATGCAACTAGGCGTCTAGCAGCAGCAGCAGCAGCAGCAGCAGCAGCGGCGGTGGCGACTTTGGCTGAGGATGTAGTTGCCGCTGTTGCTGCAAGAATGCAGAAAAATGTGTTAGTGGAGTAGTTGTCATTACGTCATCGCTGGTGTTGCACTGCATACGTATGTATGTATGTATGTACTTAGTAGATATGTAAATATGTACACACATACATAAGTACATATGTATGTATGTGCGAGTACTTGTCGCGCATTGTCATCTGGCCAGTCTGGGCCTCCTGCACTACTGGCTTGGTCTCGTTCTGGATGTCGGTTTCCAACTGTGCCGCCATGATTTTGTTTGCGGTGGTGGGGAGGATGGATATCATTGTTGTCCGTCGGGCTTATCGTTTGCAGTCTCGTTGCACACTGGTCGTTATTGTGGCCCTTCTCTCTCCTGCCGTATGCTTCATTCCTTCTACGTTGTCAACATGTTGTTTGGTCGCTCGATTGATTGTCTAGTACCTACATGATTGCCTAGGCAAGCCGTAGCAAGTAGACAAACGTTGTTACTACAGCAGACTGGCGTTGGGAAGTGTGGTTAATGTTGCATGCAGCAACTGAAACCAGTTGCTCTTAGCACGATTTGCTGATGATTTTCCCGTTCAGCCTACCTATGCAAACACACTAATAAATACATGCATATGCGTGTGTACATATACATATGTACATGTATGTGAATAACACATATTTACGCGGTTATAAAAATAGCAGAAATTTTAAGTAGGTGAATGCAAGTGCGCATATATCCTCTGCTGGGCTCAGATACTGGCAATCGTTTGTCTTTTATCGGCTATCGTAAAATGCACATAACATAACACACACACACAAACAAACCAATCCATAAATATATATATATATATATATATATATATGCTCATGCATGTTTACATGAATTTGTCATAGTCGAATGGAAATATTTAATATGAGTTGCCGTTAACGAAAGTGAAAGCAAGAAAAACAGCACATGGCCTCTATTTTTGTAAATACTTACATACCTACTTCTTTAAAATTCTTTTTAACATTCACAACCCCCCCGGCAGTCGTTTTCACCACACGATTCAAAATACCAGCTCTTGACACCCTAAAGTAGCTGGTTCATGAAGAGACAGTCAGGCAGCGCTGATGGATCCAGACTCTTGCGTAGACAAATCAAAGCCTCTCCCTGAATGCCGCAGATCTCTTAACGAGATGAACCAAAATTATGGAATACAACTCATATGGGTGCCTGAACCCCGATATGGGTACTGAGGGCAACTGCAAAACAGAAAAATTGGCAAGGAACAGTATGAACACCTTAATTCTTCCTGGGAAGGACATGGTAGGTATACCAATGGCCCCTATTAACCATAAAAGTAGCAAACGAGCGCTGGGAAAACCTCTCCTTCTGTGAAACTGCCAGGCAGGCATACGTGGTCTTCCTACGATAAAAAAGGCACCTGTGCACTCTAAGATATAAAATAGACCGAGGGATAAAACAGACCGAGGTATCTATTGTCACAAGAATTCTGACAGGTCACAGGTTTTTTACAAATTTTATTTTTGATGCATAAATGCATCTAGATGCTCTACGAACACTTCTGCATCCAAAAGAAAGTTAAAAAAAATGGCAAGTTAGTTAAATAAGGAAATTTATTTAACACGGTTGCGATCAGTGACAAAAAAATCATAATTTAAGTAAATTTATTAACTGGAATTTTTTTTTTAAATTTTTATTGAGCTTGAGAACATTATTATTGCAAATTTTTGTGGAAAAACCACAATAAAATATTTCAAAATAAGTCGTTACTAGTCCAGAAAATAACAACAAAATATTGAAAAAATTGCTTTAAGGAGCCAATAAATTTTTTTTTTTAGCTCTTTGCTCCAATTCAAGCTCGACGTCTTCTTAAGCTTTCGTCTCCGTCAACACAAGAAAATTTTGTAAGCGAAAAATTAAGACATGACGAATCTTTCAAAACGAAATAATTTTTGATTGAGCAAACAAATGATGTAACTTCTTTTTTAATATTTTATGAGCACTTACGCACAGAGGGACGTCCACATATAAGCTGTGGCCAAAATTGTAATCGTAGGTACTACAAATTCACTGACATTTGAAAAATGGTAAGAGTCGACGCGCTGCCACGCCCACAGCTTTTGTGGGTGGAAATGATAAATGTTATCCGATTTTGCTGGAATTCAGAGTAATTGCTGGTTTTGACCACAAAACCATAAAACTGAAAGAACATCAAAATCGGTCTACATTATCGCCCATCAATTCTGTAAAAACATGGGCAAATTTTAGAAAATAATTTTTTTTAATGAAATTTGCAGGGTGTTGAATACTAAACCTTAAGTTCTACCTACATTTTATGCAACAAAAGCTGAGCTTTAAATTATTTGTGAAACATTTTTTGTTTGCATTTTATCTACTTTAAGCTCCTCTAATTACTGCAAATGTAAATTTTTTCTCAAAAATTCTTTTTTGGTCGGAGTTAGCTTTTCCAGAATTCGCTAATCCATTTTTACTACCTTTGGCCGCTGTAGTCCCTTTGTGTGCGGTAACGTAATGGAGTTGAACTGAAGTGCAAATATTTTTTTTATCAATATCTATTATATATTTTCTGATTAATTTTCAGAAACAAAAAAAAAATGTCGTGTTCCATTTATGGTCCTAACTTACTTTGAAGTAATTCCTTGTAAATATTCGCAACGTTTTCAGAGAAGTCTTTAACTCCAACACTTTCAGTATTAAAAACATAAATTTTTAAATAAAAAAATAAATAACAAATAAAATAAATAAGTTCAGGTGCTACGCATGGAATAGAGGAAAATATTTTTGGTTTAAAAAATGTGCCACCACCGCGCAACACCCCAAAAATATGTTGTTAAAATTTCAGACCAGTGCTGCCGAAAAAGTTTAATTTTTTGGGTATAGTGCGCGTTAAAGACACATGAAAAAATTTATGGGACATTAAAATAGTTTAAAATTTTTTTACATATTTTTTGCACCAAATCTCACCTACAGCCTATGCAGTTTTTCAAAAAAAAAACACAACTCAACTATACAAATTTTTAATAATGTCAGAGAACATTCAATTCTGCTGGCCGGTGGGAACTGGTCATTAACATATGTACAAATATGAAGACACAATTATTATTATTTTTTTATCTAGGTACTTACCCTCTGTGGAATCCTGAGTTGACTTATGTATTGTATGTATATGTACGTAGATGTATTAACTGAGCTATGGACTTTTAAAGTTTAACAAATCGCTTGTAGTATCCCTCAAGCATGAACAATAATTAAAAACAAGAAAAAAAACTAACAAGATCCTGAGTTGTTATATTTTAAAGCAATAAAAATCTAAAAAAAAAAAAAAATACTGAAGAAGCCTTCTATTGCTCCACACAGCTTCAAAAAATACTTGCTGCTCTGCAGTGCGCTTCCGACACCATTCAACCGAATGATCTTCCAAGGCGAGTGTTCGATCGAACCCAATTTTCCACAGTTCTTTTGCTTTGAACCACAAATTGCACTTTTCTTTTGCACTTGAAGCTATATGTAGATTATAGATTATGCTGCGTTGCACTCCGCAAGGTACAGTTAAATATGTATGCTTTCGAGACAGCTAAGCGCCCAACACGCCCCTGCGCGGCAAACGTTCGCTTCTTCGCTAGAGAAGATTCCACACCACACCACAATCTGCTGGTCTTTGGTTTCAACTTGGATTTTGCGTTTTACTATTTGAAAAACTATACGTTTTCACTCCACTCTCTCCACAGCAACTGATACAAAAATTTAGTATTTTACGAATGTTAAATTGCAAATTTTTAACGATTCCGAAAATGCGAGTCCGCTGAATAGCTTATTTACAACACTCTTTTCTGTTACAGGTATTTCTTGTGCTACATATTTATTCCTTGCAATCTAAAATATGTATGAGGCGCTTCCGTTTTTGTAGTGTTGCTGCACCAAGCAAAAATGTCAAACTGAATACTAAATTCGCAAAGGCCGCAGTTCGAGTCGAGTATCTGCAGTGTAAAGCATCTTTTCACTAACTACTGGCTGGCTGACTGTTAGCCTGCGTATTCCCCTTGGCTAGAGACGGCAAAGCAACTAACTGCGTTGGTTTTAAGCGTACGAACGGACAGACAAATGGACGAAGGAACGACGGACAGGCGAAAGAAACAACGAATGAAAGCACGAAAAAGCAAAGAGCATCATAAAGGTAATAGGGAACGAGCTAAGTCAAAAAGGGAGTGTAATCGCAAAAAAAAAAAATTAAAATTAAAATATAAAAAAAAAAGCGAATTTAGTAATGCAACAAAAAAAAAAAAAAAAAAATGCGAATTGACGGAAACAGAAACTGCAAGAGGTGAGTAAAATAGGCAGGGGCAATTGGCGAAAGAGCGCAAAAAAGAAAATAAAATTAAATGCAAAAAATTAACGAAAAGCCGCAGAAATGCGCTTGCGGATGGGGGTAGGGATGACTCAAATGTCCTTCCATGTGGTATGCTGCTCGATGAACCTGATGATGAAGGCAATCAACACGGCAAAGCATCAGCTGCAGCCATAGCACTGCAATTTGGAGCTGTGCGCAGTGCAGTGCAATGCATTTCGATGGACGAGAAGGTAGGCAAGGCAAGGCAAGGCGAGCGAGTTGAAGTAGAAGTAGAAGTGTGTAAGAGGCATGCATGTAAAATACAAAAAAAGAAAAAGCCCACATCTAGAAGCTTACGAAGCGAATATAGCAAACGAACGAATGAACAAAGAACGATATGACCGATGAATCTATGCACAAAAGAGATTTGATAAAAATAAAGTTTGCCAAGAGTGCATCCGCGAGAACTTTTCGGTTACTCTATGTATGTATGTACATACTTACACACTTATGTATGTACTCGTTCCTAGTACTGGCATCTAGCTGTGCAGTTGAAGGGTGGCTGCCTGATCGAGACTGCTATGTTGATCAGTGCAACAAAATTCCCTACTGCCTGGCACATATTTTCATAGTTATAAGAGTTTTAATCTACATACATATGTACATGTAGGTTTGTATGAGTGGTTGTGTCGCAAGAAATAATTTATAGAATTTATTATAATATTTTTTTATTGGTTTAATGCTTCATTCATGAGAGAATTGAATTGAGTATTTATGTACGCATGAGTGTGCATATGCGTGCGGTCATGATTAGGGTATGAATTGAGGGATCGAAGCTGGCGAAATAAGGAATCAGTATTGAAGGAGCCTTTTCAAAGCTCCTAGCTAAACTAATTTATTTTCGAAGTTTGTTCAAAGTGAATTTATGTAGGTATCTAGTTTGCAGTTTTTAATTTAGCATTTAAAAGCCTTTTTAGCAATCTTTTTCAAGAAATGCTGTTTAAATGATTTGAGCTGATTAACTACTATCGCGGGGTCCATTTGGGTCCACATGTACCTACTTTCCTAGTACTCCCTTTTTTGACACAATATTGAAATATTTAAAGTAAATTGTATAACATTTATTTAAATTAAACTTCCCAAACAGGTGGCAAGTTTCTTCAAAAGTTATATTCAAACTGCACCCTATTTTGATACTTATGAATTAATTTAAAATAGATTTTTTTAAAAGGTGGCAACCCTTTTCGAAAACTTGAAAAATGTTCGAAATATTAGTTAGACTTATTATCAAACCGTGTGCCAAATTTCATACAAATCCGTCTAGCCGTTTCTGAGTGAAGAGAGGACTCGCAGGGCGTCGGGTTTTTCATTTCATTAAATTTTAAATCACCCTGTGTAGCTAAAAAAACTTCAAACTCCAAAAAAGAAAACCCGGCTTGCCCTTAAACTGGCCAAACCCTCTAATTTGACGCCTCACAAAAATGCCTGGGCACTTTTTATATATAGATAATGTTTAACCCCCTTGTTTACGCTGCGACACAATTGACCCAACTCATATATCTTCTCAAAAGACCAATTCAAACCCTCCGCATTGTTGATATTAGCTTTCAAAGCCACTCAATTCTGTTTCAAACTCTTTTATTCCCTTGGGCTCAGAAAAATCTATTAGATAACGGATGGTAAAATGATTGCAAATTATTTTCGTTTAACCCTCATATCAGCTTAGTTTCAGATTTTCTGGTATCTGTTGACTCTTTCAAATAGATTATATTTTATTTGGACAGAAAACTAACCCTGTATGGAATTTTCATGTATCTGGGAAACATAGTCTTTACCTAGTGGCTGCAACCAACAAGTTTAATAAATACACAAAATATTAATTTTTTATTTAAATAAATGTTTTTCAAACTCTTTAGTTAATAATAAAAAAAATCTTTGAATTTAAATTAAAATGATTAATTTATACCATAAATCTTACTAATTTCTATTATTGGTTCAAAATGAGCCAAAACATTGTAGAAAGGGGTAAATTGGAAATAAAGCAGAAGGGTTAAGAAAATTAAGTAAAATGTAACCTCTAAAATCAGAACTTCTAAAAACACTTAACTTGTTTTTTTTTTTAACTCTACAGATATTTTCGCTTTTATTATTAATATATTTATAAGAAATGATTTTTTAAACCTCACCAGCAGTAGTTGAGAGATTTCAATTTGCTGAATTTTTTTCGATATGCAGCTGCTTTGTTAGTTTGAACTTAGGTAATTTTTGTTTCAAAATCCCAGTAAATATATATTTTTTTAATATTGTGAAAAACTTAAACAACCAATTTTTAAGCAAACAATTCAACCGCCTTCAATGCTTTTATAAAAATTTAGGAATATCGTTAGTTTCTTCAGGATCCAATGAGCGGAACCGACCCGATTTATTATTTATGGGTCGCCCCTTTCTGATAAAAAAAAAAACAAAAACAAAAACGGTTCACGTAGTCGGAAGATATCCGGCATCATATATACACACAAATATTCCGACGATTTGATGACTTCCTCATTTTTTTGAATTTTTTGAAATTTTTAAAACAGTTTGCATTCCAATTTTTCTTTGGAAATATGGAAATTTAGATAAATATATATACTTACATTTTGTTTTTATTTTTCTACGTAATCAGTAGAATTTTGGCAAAATACTTAAATATTTTTGGCAACATTATTTCCATTTCTTATCATTTCAGTTCGAAATACTTTAGTCAAGCTTTTGCACTGTTTTTGTATGCCTGTTTGTAAGGCGAAATTTTTTTTTTCTTATATTGTATTAGTTTATATACATATAAATTTTTTTTTTAATTTTGTGAATTGCACTTTTCCATATTTAAAAAAAAAATTAATTTGCACAGTTTATTTTTGCTTGCTAAAATCCTTAGGATATTTTCAATTCACTTTTCATGCAGTTTATTTCTATACTTCTGCTATACAGTTGAGTTGAATTTTTTTTGTAATATTAAATTACAATTTCACATTTAATTTTTTTTATTTCTAAATGAGCTTGTTGTTTTGCTTCTTCCGAATTCCTTGCGATTTGCTTCGCGTCTAAATTTGTTGTGCGGCGAAGAAATATTCCATTTCTTGCGCAAAAATATATATTACAAGTCCACTTGCGTTGTGAGTGCGAGCAAAGCTAAGCGCTAACAGCTAAACGTATCTGTTTGTAAGTAAGCAACGTCCGTAGGCTCACTCTACACACATACATACATATATATGTACCTCATGTAGATATGTACATACATACATATGTATACGCTTGTAATGCTTGCGTTCGGGCTGGGCGCACTAAATTGCCGCGAATGCGTTTTTAGCTCACTAACTTTTTAGTAACTGAACCTTTACTGTGCTGATCGAATTAAAAAACTCAACTGAATTCGCAAAAAAGTGCAGTCAGCTTGTCCAATTGAATCGGAGAATTCCCTGCTATGCGCCGCTACCGCTGTCGCGACGACAACCGTCAATGCACCGACTTCGTTGTTGACGCTGCTGCTGTTGCTGCTGCTATTGTTTTTATTGTTGTTATACGTTTTAGGCTTCTCCTTTTTTGCACAAATTTGTGCTTTTCTGTTTGCCTTTGTTGCAGCCGACGCGCTGCTGTTTTGTTGTTGTTGTTGTTTATTTATTTGTCTTTGAGTTTTGTCACTCTGCGACCGCGTTGCTGCGCGTCATCTGTATGTGCCACAAAAGCGGCGATCGCTGCTGGCGTAGGCGAAAAAGTATTTTGGGCAATGCGGGGAAAGTGGTCGCTTAGCACATTTGAAATTCGTGCGGAAAACCCACAGTTTTCTCCGGAAACCAGTACCGTAGCAAAGGCTGCGGGTGCGTCTGGGAGAGGGAGCTTAACCAAATGCACTAAAACTCATCTGCGCTCAGCACAAAAGCTCTGGCGCTCACTTACAAAGCGCCAAAAATTCGCGCGATCACTTCATTGCAACGCTTACTCTGCCAGCGTCGCAGTCGCATTACTGTGCGGCCGCAAGTAAACAGAGTGAGTGGCGCAAACAAGTCTCCAATACTTCAAGTGTATTCCGAATTGGTTTTCCAAAAATTGTAAATGCCTTCGTTTCCTGCCGCCTTGTATTAGCAGCCCTTTTCGCTCTAGTATGCGCGGCGACCATAATTTTTTTGGCCTTAGCTCCGCCCGCGCGGCAGCGCCAACAGCGGCAGATCTGCGCGTTCCCTTGAAGTCGCTATGATCGATCTTACGAGAGGCGCGCTGCGAAAGCCCAAGTTTATTCCCATCCCCAAAGCAGTCAACATCACCGAATCGACGACAGCGATCATCGGACGCAAGGCCGCGCTGGCGACTTTTAGCAAGAGCGGCGATTTTCAGCTGCTTGGCGGCTTGGCATTAAATCCTGCAGTGGCCGACAAAAATGGAGAGTTTGCTGCAAGCTTCAGAGTGCAGCGTCGCACCGAAACGCGTGCAAGTCGAACCTTTGCAACGTAAAATATATACTCAAGCGTCTATAAAGCACACGCACACATACAAATGTATGTATGTATGGATGTTTATATATGTAAAAATATAAACAAAAAAAAAACAAAGCAAATATCACCGAAACGCACTCAGAAAATTATGAAAACCGAATGAGCAGCGAAGCAGAATGTAAAACGCATGCGAAGGCAGAGTTTTTGGCAAAATGCACAGCCACATACAGAGAGTCAGGCTGCCATACGCACACTTGCGCAACATACAAATGTAGGTACATACATAATTCTTACTCAACAAATTCCAACACTTACATGTCTTCTCCACGACTTTT